GGTCGACTCTCTCAATTGCAGCCTTTTCAGAAACATTCTCTGTCAGTGCTTGACACACTAGGAGCACACGCCAGGCAGAGCTTTGCGTGCAGGGGAGAAAAGCAGAGCGGATGAGGTTGCTTGTTATTAGACTCCCTCTCTCAGCTGAGGATTGATTCTTTCAGGGACCTGTGTTAGCGTGCAAATACCAATTGAAAATGGGTTTTCATTTTGTCAGAGGGAATGTCAATCTATTTTAAGAGACACTGTGTCTGTGTCTTACACACCTCACAGAGCTATCAAAAGGCTTCCTTGAAAATATACACATGCATGTAATCAGAGGAAACACGCACAGAGATGTGTCAATAGCTGAATGTTTCTGGAACAACACCAAGGAAGGAAAAATGATACCTGGAGTGCTTAGTGGGTCAGGCTATGATAGGAATGAGAGAGACCAGGTGCCCTCTCCCATCTTAAGGAGAAGGAAAGGAAGTATTGTGTGCTCTAAACGGATCTGTTTAAGACAACACTCAAGGTTTTCCTTACAGAGCACACTTGGAAGGTGGACAGGGTCTCATGGGGGATTCTGAATCCACACATGAGGAACAGGGGGTCCACTCCGGATACTTCAGAAGATACACACGTACAAGTAACAGTCCTGAAAGCAAGCCCTGTTTTGAGAAACGGTAACAGCAAATATAAAACAGATTCCTTGAGGGTTTATCAAACGCTTGTCATTCCTTCTCCTACTGTATTGACCTCTCTACTTCCTCCCCAGTTAGATATCCTAGTGCTTTCCACATCACATTACTTGTATCCTGCTGTTCCTCTCTAGAGCTTCCCTTCCCATGGTTCCAGGTTTCTGTGGTCACCCTGTGCTGTATGCTCCCCATCTGAGGATCTGGAGCTGTATACTTCAGGTGAGAGAACATGTGATGTTTGTCTTTTTTGGTCTACGTTACCTCACGCAATAGGATGATTTCTAGCTCCATCCATTTCCATGCGAATTTCATCCATTTACATCCAATTTCAGTTGGGCAGTGTTCCATTGTGTGTACACACACACCACTTGCTCATTATCCATTCCCGCTGTTGGAGGGCATTTAGACTATTTGCATTTCTTAGTGAGTGTGGGCAGAACAGCAACAAATGCGTCTGAGCGAGCATCTGTGGCGTGGGATGTTGAGTCCTTTGGGCACGTGCCAGAGGTCGCACGGTAGTTTTCTTTTGGCCTCCAGAGGGTTCTCTACACGAATGTCCCCAGTGGCTACAGTGAGTTTCTTTTCTACTAACAGTGAATGAGGGCCCTTCATTCCCCACACCTGTTTATTGGTAGTAGTTTTGTGATCTGGGCAATTCTGACTGAGGTGAAGTAAAATCTCCATGTTGTTTAATTTGCTTCTCTCTGATGGGCAAGGATGATGAGCACTTCTTGATGTAGCTCTTAGCCAGTTTTATTTCCTTTGTGGAGCACTCTGGTGAGATCCCTAGTCCTAGTCCAGCATTTGTATTTTTTAAATTGATTCATTGGTTTCCTTGACTTTGAACTATTTTATATGTTCTGGATATCAGTCCTCTGTCACACGCATAACTGGCAAAGATTCTCTCCCTTTATGTGGGACTCTTCTTCCCTCAACTGATAGTTTTCTTAGTTGTATAGAAGCTTTTTAGCTTTATGACATCCAAGTATCAGTCGTTGGCCTTACATCCTTGGTAAACAGAGTCTTGCTCACAGAGCCCCTTTCCACACCTGTATCTTGTAGGGAACTTCCTATATTTTCTCCTAGCAGTTTTGTTGATTCAGGTTTTCAGATTGAAGATTTTTATCTAATTGGATCTAATTTTTATGTGTGTGTATGGAGGATGATGGCTATGTGTCTAATCTCACACTTCTGCATGTGGATCTCTGTCTTCCCCAGTACCACCTGTTGGAGATGCTGTGTATCCTTCAGTGTCTTTTGCCTTTAATAACTATCAAATGGCTTGAGGAAAAAAGAGACCGCAGTGGTCTCGGAGACTTTCAACTCAGTGGGTCCCACATACAGGAGGAAGTCTAAGGTTCCAGAGGCTAGAGGCTTTGGTGACGGCAGACCCCAATGACACAAGAAAGTCCTTGGTTCCAAAAGGGTTTATTGTCTTGGTGGATGGTGGATGGATCTGGATGTACTCTCGTGAAACTCAGGGCAGACCTGAGTTAAATAGGGAGGGAGGAAGGGGGAGGGTCTGGGGAAGAATGCTTAATTGGCTCCACCCTCTGGCCTTCATTAGTATATAAATCCCTAGGCCCTGAGGCCTGTAGTCATGGCCTCTACCTGTGCACTTTGGGAGGGGCTTTAATGGCCTATGTGACTGAACAATGTAGTTCTATGGAGACTAGACTGCTTTTCAGGACCCTGGGTTCTGGGGATGTGGCTGAACACTTGCCGTTTCTCTCTTGGAGTCTCAGGATTCCAGGCCCATGCCCAGCCATGAACCAAGGTACCCTTATGCAGTCCCACAATGACCCTATTATGAGTACTTGTGTTTGGGTCTTCTATTTTATTCCACTGATTTTCATGTCTCTTTACATGCTCACAACCATGTTGATTTTACTATTAATATTCCCTTAAATCTAGAATAGCAGTCCCTCCAGTATAACTCTTTTTGGATCAGCATTGCTTTGTCTATTCAGAATCTTATTTTTGATTCCACAAGAACTTCAGGATGCTTTTCTATGGCTGTGAAGAATGTCATGGGTATTTTGACTAAGATTGCATTAAATCTGTAAATTGTGTTTTGTGGGATGGTCACTTTCATTCATAATCTTAATTCCATCAATCTATGAACACATGATGTCTTTCCATTCTCTAGTTTTAAATAGGTTGTCTCTGGAGTCTACGTGACTCCCAAAATAATACAGATGATCAATGTAGCCCCTGTTTGCTTCTCAGGAGGGGAGGGTGAGACCCTGTGGCTAAATACACCACACACTTAGAACACACGAACTGGAGAACACCAGCTGGATTGGACCAAAGGTTCCTTTCCCATGGCCCAGCTTTCATGCTTCCAGGAAATACTATGTAAGGTACCAAGGAAGGAATAATTAAACAATCCTACCGTGAGTGACACCTATGAACCACAACATTTAACAGCATGGCAAGAAATGTATAGAGGTGCAATACTTATCACTCATAAGTCAGCAGCAAGCAACAGCTGTCTAAAATGGACTTAGGATTCACTCAACAGGTGGCAAAAGACACCTGGTACTGGGAACCTAGCCGGCTTCTTGATCTAGTGATATCATGGGAAGCTTTAGAGAATAATCCACTACCAGCACGTTGCTAGACCAGCATAATTAATCACCACATTCTAAACCTTATCCTTGTACCCACAGAGAAGAGTAGCTACTACCTTTCATCAAAGCGAATGGGACTGTCACAGGAAACTACAACTCTGGATGCAATGCAGAGATCAATGGGTTGGTGGGGAGCCCCAATGGATACATCTGTATTACAGTTCCTGAATCTGTAGTGAGGGAACGTTCTGGAAGAGAGTGTGGAAAACGATAGGAGCCAGAATACCAGGCAGTCTTTTAACATTTTTATCCCAGAAATGGCCGCACAAACAGAACTGGAGCAATGGCCATACCAATGAACGAGCTAATGTGTGTGTACACATACACAACAGTGTACGCACACAACAATGCATACCACAACAATGGACATAAACTGTATACATACAACTGTATACATGTGACTGTGTACACACAATTATGCACACAAAACTATATACATTCAACTGTAAACACACTCAACTATGTACACATACAACTGCAGACACATACACACATTAGTAATTTCTAGTATTAGCAGATATTCAGATGATACAGTCTTCAGTGGGCTTTTGTGGGGTCACCTGTCTCTAGGATTCCCCAAAGAAAAGAAAGCCCACAGATGATCCTTAGAATGTAAATAATTGCTATATACTATTGTTGAGGGATTGGTGGACAAGAAAAAGAGATCCAAGGCTTTTTGACACTTTGTGGAATCCCATGAAAGTGCCCAACAGCCTTTGGGAACTAAATATTGTCATGTTTTTGTTTTGTCCGTGTAGTCTTGGCTGCTCTGGAACTCAATCTGTAGACTAGGCTTGCCTTGAACTCATAGATCTGCTTGTCTCTGGCTCCTGAGTGCGGGAAGTGCCTCGCCTTGGGTAATACTGTCTTCTTAACTGACATTATCTAAAGCATTAAGTAACCCCATCAAAGTCCATGGGCTCTCCTCCTCTCAGCACGCCATTCAACCCAGGCCTCTGTATGGACATCTAACCATGTCCACTGTGAGAACGCACTGGGAGACATTTCCCTTCCTCCCAGACAGTCATCGCTCAAAAACAGCTCTGTGTTGTAAGGCTGTCTTCCTTCTGATTTTCCTAAATGCTACGTTTTGCTGTCCATCGACCTTATTCTATGTAACTTGCAGAATGGCTTTGACACAATTAATACTTTGTAATCCAAGAGCCCAAACACTGCACACAGGCTATAAATCACTATTACAAACAGGCTCCCTAGTCACTGGCCAGCAGCCCTGCCTCATATACCCATCAATAAAGACAGCTTTCATACTCTATGAGAGAATCTGTCATTCCACGGAACTGCTTTTGGGTGATGAGCACATTAGCTCAAAACAAACTAGAGGGACAGGAAGAAGTGTCTGACCCATTAGCAGCCATCATTGAAGTAGCCAGCCTCTAAGAGCCTTAGGGGCCATGCCAGTACCAATCACGTGGTTCCCAGAGCAAGCTATAAATTCGGAACAGAAAAAGCGGTAGAGGCGAGTTGAAAGAGAGAGAGAGAGTAGGTCTTGAGGTCATGGGCTCTAATGTTCCATTTAACCTATAATTCACCTTTAGGAGTATTTTTATCCTCACATGAAGTGCAAAAGCAGAGCTATAGAATGCTTGCGCTCCAACTGTGGGATGCAATACGAACAGCAACACCACGAAAGACCTCGACCATCAGAGGAATGCCAGCTAATACTCACCGGCACATTTTGTTCTTGTTCTCAGAGCTGGCCCAGGAGATCCAGTGCCGCCTTCTCCTGGTCTGGTCAGAAGCACACTGATCTCATACTCTGTATCTGGGTCAAGGTGTCCAATCTTGTAACTCGTGGAATCCACTGGCTGCCGATCATTCCAGCTCCCGCTGGCTGTGCAGTATTCAACCTCTCGGGCCACAATGGGTCCATCCCCATTGATGGAGTTGGCGTTGAGCTGTATCCACAGATAGGTTGCTCCAACAGAGGCAAGCTGAGGTGGGGCGATGGGAACAGGCGGCTCTGAAAGCAAAGCAGAGAGCTTTTGTATTCATTTGATAAAGAATTAAGCACACATACATGATGACAGAGGAGAAGATATTTGAAATTCAGTATGGAACTGATGAGAGGAATTTGTGCTTTTTAATAAGCATGTGTATAGTGTTAATGATTTAAACAAGGTTCAAAAATTACTTCTAAAACACTAATGAAAGGGCTAGAGAGATGGATTGGTAGTTAAGAACATTTATTATTCTTACAGAGGACCTGGGTTTGATTTCTGTTACTCATTCAGTTGCTCACAACCATCTATAATACCAGTTCCAGGAGATCTGGAGATCTAAAGCCATCTGATTGTCCATGGTGCACGTATACAAATGCAAGAAAACCACTAACGCACATACAATAAGATAAATCAAAAGTAAATAAAAATAAATGAAAGCAAAGCTAACTTGAGCTGAGCATCTGTATTCCCAGCTACTAAGGAAACAGGCAAGAGCCTCACTTGAACTTGAAAGTTCAAAACCAATCAAAGCAAAGCAAGACATAGTCTCAAGGGAGAAAAATAATAAATCAGTAGTCTTCCTATACTCAAAGGATAAACATGCTGAGAAAGAAATTAGGGAAATGATGACACCCTTCACAATAGTCACAAATAATATAAAATACCTTGGTGTGACTCTAACCAAGCAAGTGAAAGATATGTATGACAAAAACTTCAAGTCTCTAAAGAAAGAAATCAAAGATCTCAGAAGACGAAAAGATTTCCCATGCTCATGGATTGGCAACATTAATATAGTAAAAATGGCTACCTTGCCTGAAAGCAATCTACAGATTGAATGCAATTCCCATCAAAATTCCAACTCAATTCTTCATAGAGTTAGAAAAAGCAATTCTCTAATTCATTTGGAATAACAAAAAAACCAGGATATCGAAAACTATTTTCAACAAGAAAAGAACTTATGGAGGAATCACCATCCCTGACCTCAAGCTGTATTAAAGAGCAATAGTGATAAAAACTGCATGGTATTGGTACAGAGACAGGCAGGTAGATCAATGGAATAGAATTGAAGACCCAGAAATGAACTCACACACCTATGGTCACTTTATCTTTGACAAAGGACCTAAAAGCATCCAGTGGAAAAAGGACAGCATTTTCAACAAATGGTGCTGATTCAACTGGAGGTCAGCATGTAGAAGAAAGCAAATTAACTCATTCTTATCTCTAAGTGGATCAAGGACTTCTACATAAAACCAGATACACTGAAACTAATAGAAGAGGAAGTGGGGAAGAACCTCGAACACATGGGCATATGGCAAACTTTCCTGAACAGAACACCAATGGCTTATGCTCTGAGATCAAGAATCAACAAATAGGATGTCATAAAGTTGCAAAGTTTCTGTAAGGCAAAGGACACTGTCAATAGGACAAAATGGCTACCAGTAGGTTGGGAAAAAATCTTTATCAATCCTACATTTGATAGAAGGCTAATATCCAATATATATACAAAGAACTCAAAAAGTTAGACTCAAGAGAACCAAATAACCCTATTAAAAAATAGGGAACAGAGCTAAACAAAAATTCTCAACTGAGGAAACCTGAATGGCCATAAGGCACCTACAGAAATGTTCAACATCCTTAGTCATCAGGGAAATGCAAATCAAAACAATCCTGAGATTCCACCTCACACCAGTCAGAATGGCTAAGATCAAAAATTCAGGTGACAGCAGATGCTGGTGAGGATGTGGAGAAAGAGGAACACTCCTCCATTGCTCGTGGGATTGCAAGCTGGTATAACCACTCTGGAACTCATTCTGGCAGTTCCTCAGAAAATTGGACATAGTACTACTTGAGGATCCAGCTATACCACTCCTGGGCATATACCCAGAAGATGTTCCAACATACAATAAGGACACATGCTACACTATGTTCATAGCAGCCATATTTATAATAGCCAGAAGCTGGAAACAACCCAGATGCCCCTCAACAGAGGAATGGATATAGAAAATGTGGTACATTTACACAATGGAATACTATTCAGCTATTAAAAACAATGACTTCATGAAATTCTTAGGCAAATGGATGGAACTAGAAAATATCATCCTGAGTGAGGTAACCCAGTCACAAAAGAACACACATGGTATGCACCTACTGATAAGTGGATATTATCCCAAAAGCTCAGAATACCCAAGATACAATTCACAGACCTCATGAAGTTCAAGAAGAAGGAAGACCAAAGTGTGAGTGCTTTGGTCCTTCTTAGAAAGAGGAACAAAATACTCATGGGAGCAAATATGGACACAAAATGTGGAGGAGAGACTGAAGGAAAGGCCATATAAAGACTGCCCCACCTGGGGATCCACCCCTTCTACAGTCACCAAATCTAGACACTAGTGTGAATGCCAAGAAGTGCATGCTTACAGGAGCCTGATAGCTGTCTCCTGAGAGGCTCTGCTAGAGCCTGACAAATGCTCGCAGCCAACCATTGTACTGAGCACAGGGTCCCCAATGGGGTCCCCAGTGGAGGAGTTAGAGAAAGGATTGAAAGAGCTGAGGGGGTTTGTGACACCATAGGAAGAATAATAATATCAACCAACCAGAGACCCTCAGAGCTCACAGGGACTAAATCACCAACCAAGGAGTACACATGGAGGAACCCATGGCTCCAGCCGAATATGTAGCAGAGGTTGGCCGTGTCAGACATCAATGGGAGGAGAGGTCCTTGGTCCTGTGAAGGCTCCATGCTCCAATGTAGGGGAATTCGAGGGCAGGGAGGCGGGAGTGGGTAGGTGGGGAAACATCCGCATAGAAGCAGGGGAGGGGGATAGGATGAGGGTTTCTGGGGAGGGAACCAGGAAAGGGGACAATATTTGAAATGTAAATAAAGAAAATATCCAATAAAAAAAAAAGAACAAAAAGGAGGTGGGGATGTGACTCATTGGTAGAGAGGCTGTCTTAATACATCCTGGGTTTGATCCCCAGCACTTCACACAGGGGTTATAATGGTGCATACCTGGAATTTCAGCACTCTAAAGCTATAGGCAAAATGATCAGAAGCTGATAGAAACCTTCAGAGACTTCAGTAAGTTTTAAGTTAACCTGGACTATATGAATTACTACCTTAAACAACAACAACAATAAAACCAAAAGAAAGAAAAATAGAAAGAAAGGAAAGAAAGAAAGGAAGAAAGAAAGAAGAGCAAGAAAGAAAAGAAAGAAACAAACAAAAACCCAAACAAAAACAACAATTACATCTAACTTGTTCAATTAAGTGTGCCCATAACCCATCTTAGGACACAATGTATGAAAAGATTGTACATCCAAGTTTTTTTTTTTCTTGTCTCTAAAGTAACTACTGAAGATTCCCTGAGAATCATTATTTAAACAGCAGGACACATTCCATTGACAGCTTCTCACTGAGAACCTTCCAACATCCTCAAAAGCCTGAGGGTTTTCTACATCATTAAACTAAGTTGGTGCATGCCTATATTGCCAATACATCTGACTGGTGGAGGCAGGAGGAGCAAGAGTTCAAGACTAGCCTGGGGTGCTTAGGGAGGTCAAAGCCACTTTCCCTTCTGTTTATATTTCCAATCATTTTAAGAACAAAGATGAAATTATGGTCTATCTCTTCAGAAATCCATTTCTGATGTGACTCAGTTTCCCCCAAAGACGTCCCAATGGGCTCAGCTAACTGAAGATGTAGATAATGAAGTTTTCTACTGCTATCTATAATATAGCTTGCTTCCAGTATTGGTTTTACTAAAAGTAGAAGAAAGTACTACAATATCCAAGGATACTCTGAATCAAGCTACACCCAGCTCAATACAAGTTGATGACATTAATAGCAAATTCTCCCTATAACTGGAAGGCCTCTCGCAATGCTATTTTCTTCATCCTTGTCTAAGAAGGGAAAGGCTGGCCATCTTACCTATACATTATCTCCCATCTTATTAGTTAGATGCTAGCTGAATGGCCCTCCAGGCCCCAAGTAAAGGAATTCTGCATGTCCTCCACACTGTGAGTGGCACTCCACATGATGAATGAGATCATGTAAAAAATTATACATTTTGTCCTGCAATGGATTGTCATCCAAGAAAAGCACAAGATCTCGTGGTTTTTGCTCAGGGGTATTTTCTTCAGGTAGTTTGTGCGTTTTTTAGTGCTTTTCTTCCTTTTTCCCTGACCTGCTTACCGCTACTGCCTACCGACATATACTGACTTGCTTGCTACAATTTCTCCTACCTTCTCACAGGGCAGACATGCTCAATCAATTGCAGCCTTGTTTCATACTGAGACCACAGGAAAGCTAGCATCATATGAGGCCTGTCTCTGAGATAGCAGCAGGTTGATCCCACTAATCCCCAACCCCAAAATAACATCAATTCTTTGTTCTTTCTGTGGAGATGGGATGTCTTTGTCTTTTCCATGTGATAAAGAGTATAAAATAGCTCATTAGAGTAAGTCATGCTAAGACGTCATGCTTTGAGTGTGCTTTGATTCTGGCTGTGACATAACACTATTGCAAATGTGATGTAAATAGACTAAAATATTTTTCTTATTGTTTATTCCCTGGAAGTTTTGTGCTTTAAACAGTTCTGACTTAACTTACCATTAATTTGTAATGCTAAGCAATTCCTTGAATAAGACATGTAATGTGATTTTTTTTTTTTATTTTAATAGTGCAGCCAGCCTGTCTTCAGTCAGAAAAAAAGTTAAGCTAAGGAAGCATCTCTGATAAAAAGTAGGCTGGGATGAAAGAGTAGTTAACTATCCTCATAGATGAAAACAAGGATCATAACTTCCCATTCAAGCCATAGCTGGGGGCAAGGTCACAAGGTTCATCTACTCACTGAGGATATTCTTACTAACATTCTAAAATGAAAACAACTTTAGCACGGTTTTTGCCCAGAGAGTATTTTCTACATTTATTCCCATTCCTAAGAGATACTCATGGGTAAATCAAATGGAAAGTTCACCTAGAACCTAAAAACAGCTGGGGGAGAAATTCAAGAAAATTAACACAAAAATAAATCAGTATTTGAATTTTGAAAAAAAGAAATCATGGGTAGGGGTAGAGATAATCTCAATCTAAACACAGTAACAGGAAAAAAGTCTTCCTACTTTCTTTTGTATAGGAATTAAACCTAGGATTCCATGCTGCAAGCACTCTACCATGGAGCAGTGTTTTCAGCACATTAATTTTTAATTTTTTTTTGACACAGTATCTTGCTAAGTTGCCCAGGCAGGCCCTTAACTTGTGATCCACTCTCCTTAGCCTCCAGAATAGCTGCAATACAAGTCTTTACCATTAGACCAGACTAAAATATTTCATAATACATGTAAAAAGATACTGCAAAATTAATTCTCAAACTATGAATGAGAACATATGGATATAAACACATTACATAGCTTTAACGGCTTATACCTGAGAATGGTCAATTGCAGGCTCAAATCTAGCTTGAGCAACTGAAATCATATGGAAAAATGGTTGTAGACATATAAACAAGAGGAGACAAATCTTACATCAGGGCCCACCCACAGCAGCCGCCCCCAGCCTTGGTACAGTGCAAAGCCCCGAGTGGTAGCACACCCTGTCAATCATCCAGAGAACCCACCCTACGCTGTCCTCAGACAGGAAGAAGTGGCTTGAGCAAAGGAACAAGAGATTGTTCATTGCCTCTACCTGTGCATTCTGTGGCAGACTAGAATCTTCTGTTACTTGTAACTCCCAACAAATCGATTTTCCCAAGGAAAGTTGGTGGCACACTTGCAATGGATGGGAAAGCAGGAAACCTTCACCACCACGTGGGCCAATCTCAGGGAAGCAGGGCAGCAACTGCAGCTCGGACAAGGGGAGCGATCATCCCAGAGAAATGCACCGAGATGGAGAGTGAAGGGAAAGAAGATAAAGAGCAGAGAAAGGTGGGGGAGGGGGATGAGGGAAAGAATGGGAGAGAGGAATGGAGTGGGGAGAGGAAAAGGAAGAGGGACCTCTGCTGGGAGCACCCAGGGCATTCCATGCACAATAAGTAGTCTATTCCGCACTACGGCTCCTTGACTCTCTGAAGAGCCTTCAGATCAGGGTCTGTGTGATGCCGATGAACTTTAGTTCTGCTGTGAATCTTAAGCTTCAGCTCAAAATTTCATCCTGGCAGTCTAATTCAAACTTTACTGCGCATAAAAATGCGGTGTAGCAAAAATATATGACTCAAGTAAATATTTAGCGTGTTCTTCCTTCTGCCGAACATCCATCAGTGACACGGTGACTAATGGTCACGATAGAGTCACTGATAAGCCAGCATTGTTGTCTCTAAAGCCAAGCGATAGGAGACAGGAACTCTACCAGACAGAAACAGGATCCCCAAACTCCCAATAGTATTCATGATGGAGGCTATGCCTAGGCATTCTGGGTAAATATGGATGTGGTAGAGGATGGAGGGTTAAATAGACGACATGGCATTTATAGTTTTACATTTTGGAAGGGTGGCGCTGCTGTGCAGCCCCAGATAAAAATTACGGAAATGAACTCAGGAAATGCAAGCAATCTGTCCTCCTCCCCATCAGGCCTGATGCCCACCCACCATCAGCTTACTGTGTACACAAGTGTGTTTTCTGCCATTGAATGTCCCATCAGCCCTATCATAGCCCATGTCTGCTTAGCTTATTCCACCATGCAAAGCCAGCATTCTTTAAAACTGGCTACAAAGAGAAATTTGCCGTTAAGAGAACGGTCCACCTTGATGTGATCAGGTTTGTGGTCTATATTCTAGAGATGCAAAGTTGTGAATAGAAGGCATAGCGTTGAGGAAGTGGCTTGGTGGTATCATACATAGATCTTATGCTCCATCCCCTGCCACTGAAATATTGAAAAATAAAATAGGAGACATTATATTAGTCTCCCACAAGATAAAAGGGATGCCCGATCACAGTTGTCTGAAACGCCAGCATGGTGCACACACAAGCTCAAATTATTCTATCTGGGCTCCAAAAAGTTGCATTAGTATCTTTTGATGGGATAAACTTCTCTGCCCACAAAAAAAAAATAATGCATTAAATGAGATAAAGAAAATTTATTTTCATTCTGTTTTTTACCTTTCCTCCACCTCCCCGTCTTGAATATAATACTCAATTTTTCAGTCACACAGCATATAGGGACAGGGCTTTACTGGGACATTATGAATGCTAAGACACTGGTATCAATTCAGCATCCATGATATATCAGGGCTTTTTATACAGACATTGCTTCATTTTATTAACCACCTCGCTATCATAAACACCCGGCCTGGTGAATATTTGCATTTTAAGTGATTTTCTATCAGAGGAAAAAAATTTCATTCCTTAAAAAAAATATATTATAGGTTGTAATCTGTATCCACAGAGCTGGCAGCAACCCTGGTTGAGAGCATAGTCACTGCCCTGTGTGCTACTAAACCAACATCAATCACATGCATTTTCCGGAAGCATTGCTCACATGCAAAATTTGTACTTAAAATGCAATCCATCAATATAGCCTAGCACCCAGACTACCGTTCAGAAGCAGACAGGATAAGTTTGAGCATAAACAAATAATGAGCAAACAACTATGTAAGCGTGTCTATTTTAATAGACTATGTGGGGGAATAAGAACACATTAAATACCTTTAACTACCAATTCTGCATAGTTTGATATCCCCACACCTCCTTCCGTGCGAATCATGCATCGGTACTTCCCAGCGTCTCTCTTGGTCGTGTTTACGACGTTAAATGAGGCTATGAATCTTCTGGAACTTGTCACCTTTAACTCCTTCAGAGGAGCGTCTCGGACATCAATTCCCTGTATCAGTGAAAGGACAGAAAGGGGCAAAATCAGCTGTCATATCAAGATACTTAGATACCTGATGGCAATTACCAGTGTCACACTCATGCAAATCTTGGTTCGACTGTTTATCCCCACGGGCAGCTGCTATATAAGAAACAACAATTCTGCCTTGATCAACAAAATGAAGATTGAGGCCTCCAACATTAAGTGTGTAGAAACGTGTTGTTTGTAACCTTTAAATATATTAAGTTAAATGATCTGAACAGGGAAGAAAAAATATATAACATTTTACTTTGATTTCTACAAATATTTGGTTCTTTGTAACACCTTATCCTACATTTTTATTTTTTTGGTTAGAAGACAAAATCAAGTCACCAATCACCCTGTTACTAACCCTGATTTCTATATGAGCAACTAAACAACTACCCAAAATAACACTACAATATCTGTCAGGTAGAACCATCACCATGTCTGCAGTGACTGGACCCAGAGGACTAACCCAAGTTTTACAATGCTTTTCCCAGATATATAAAACCTACAGAAAGTGGATGCTTGATAAACATCTGATTCTGAAACATCTGATTCTGAGGCAGAAGTCTTTCTGCATGTTCTGTGCTCTCCAGTCCCCATGAGGATGTTTCCATTGTGGGGATGTTCTGTTTTTTCTTAGTCCTGTATACTGTTAGCCTTTTAGTTACATACTCTTGGAAATCCAATCATTGCAAGACGCAAAAGCCAAAAAGGATATTAATAAATTCAGTTCTTAATAAGTCTTGGGAAGTCTGCTATCTTCTCTATGCTATTTATATTAGTATGGAACAACAGACCAAGATCAAGGGTTATATATGATGCCACCAAGCCCTCTGTCACTTGTTCATTGAGAACCCATGCTTTGAGTGCCAAGCTGTGCATCCAGGATCACAATGCTGAGCTACTGGTAGACATTCTTCAGTGATGGTCTGATGGTGGAGGGAAAGAGTGATGGTCTGATGGCAGAGGGAAAGACCAGTGGCTGGCAGATGGCAGAAGGTAGATTGCTCACAGATACTGTTGACAAGATCTGAAGAAGTGATGTGTGAATGAAGAGCAAGTAAGAAAGTAGCCAGAAAAAGCCTAATTAAGGGAAGACCATCCTAGTCACACAAAACAGCAAGGGAAGCCAAATATGATCTGAAAAACTGGCTGGCATGAATGCAGCAAGAGGAAGTTGGATTTGCAAGCTACATTAAATATTTTCATTTACTGCCATTAAAAACACAAGGCTAAATGACAGCAAAGTCCATCTGCATGGTTCGGTGACTTACACCACACAATCCAACAAACAAAAAAAGCATTTATCTATAATACTCTGGGACAGCCATTCTTAACCTATGTGAGTTTCGGGGTTAGCCTAACTCGGTCGCTAAGTTAAATGCCACCATTCAAAATGATGTAACTTTGCAGGCCCCCATTTTCCTCACCTACAGAGAGATGCCTCAATTCACTCCCAGGGCCATTGTGAGATACAAAAGATGTATGCAAGGACACTAACATAATGATTGTCCCCATACATCCCCATCCAAAGCCTGGACAAAAGGAGCAGTGGATTCCGGGAGAAAAGCAAGCAGGATGCTAAAATCCCACCTTCATTTCTGATACCCTGGCGACAGCAGCCCCAGACTGCAGTGTGCAGAAACAATGGGCTTGCTAACGCTAAAGCATGGAATGAAATAGACTCACTCACCCAGTCACTAGAAAACCACAGGGCCCCCACATGTTAGGTGCTGCTGTAAAACACACAGGATGGAGGAACCGTGTTCCTATAGCAGTTAGTTCCCCCCAAAAGGGGCTGAGCCACATGCTCCGTGCTTCCTCCCAGGCAGCTCTTGCTTAGAGAGGGCGAGAGCAGTCAGGAGTGCTGCACTGGTAGAGTTCCTGACACTCAGAAGGAAACATTAGGAGTGGGGAAGAAGGGTTCCACATACATTATTTTTGGCATTAACGATAAAACCAGGTTTATTTATAACTTAAAGAGTAAAACATAAGAATACAGAACCTCATGTATCTAGAATGGTGTGTTTTGCTAAACTTAAAACTTTGATCTAATGAATAGCACCAAAATATGTGTGTGTGTGTGTGTGTGTGTGTGTGTGTGTGTGAGACAGAGAGAGAGAGAGAGAGAGAGAGAGAGAGAGAGAGAGAGAGAGAGAGAGAGAGAGAGAGAAAGAATGAATTAGTATTAACAGTTCATATAAGGGAAAATGTCTCTTTCTGAATTCCATACACTTAATCTCCAACACCTCATAATCAAATCCAATAGAGAAGATCTTATACTTGCAGCTTTTAAAATTGGAATGTTTCATCTTTCAAGTTTAAAAATAAAATCTAACCTCTTACTGATGAGTGAAAAAAACAGTCAGCCCTCTTGAAAGACAGACTGAATCTGTAAGCATTTGTTTCATTTATAATGATGTGACAGCCAAAGCCCAGGATATTGGCTATTGCTTTATTTACCTAAGTATCTACTCAGAAGAATAAATACATTTTGTAAAAATTTATGTTTTCTTTTTTTCTCATTTTAACAATGATCCTGTAACATGTTTCATGACAGAGGTGCACATTGATCCCTGACCAGAGCTCGGGCTGTACCATAGGCTCCAAGGGAAGGACCCTGCTTCTGCATTTATATTTCTGCTGGAAAAGGGGCAGTTGGGAGCTATTCTTTTTTAATGCTGTAGTGTGACTCTGTAAAATGCAGAGCTTCACACTGTCAGCTCCACACAAGGCCAGTGCCTCCGTGAACTCCCAGGAAGGAGTCTTTAAACAAAGAAGCCCATGTACTTAACCACACAGAAAAACCCAGCTTCTTCATGAGGAATAGAATAGGGGCAGGAGAGCCTGCATGGCTGAGCATCAGACAGCTAGCCTTCCTCTTGCTATCTGAAATGTACACCACATCACTGAACACTCTTAGTCCTTTTGACTCAAGGATATTTCAGAGGTTCTGGGTGCCTCTCAGCTAACAGTCTCCGTCAATCAGGAGTGTGGTAGGCAGAATGGAGCCTCCAACAGCATCTGTATTCCTGTCTTTAGGATGTAAGAGTGTGTTCCTTTCAATACTAAAAGAAAGTTTGCAGACATGATGAAAATAAGGGTTTAGGGACAGAAGATGTGCTGGATTATCTGGGTATCCTATGGCCATGGGGAGTTCTCCTAAGAGGAAAATGGAAAGTTGAAAGTGAAGGAAGAAACCATGAAGAGCAGCGCACAGATTGTCCCAAGGATTTGCAGGAAAAAAACAACCTTGATGTCATTGTCCACTGAGGCCTTCTGATCTGTGCAAGTGTAGGTGATGGAACCTGTGAGCTTCTGCTCATTTGTTACAGTTGCAATAAGAAATTAGGACAAGCAACCACTGAGGTAATGAAGTGCCACATGGCTTGCATGATATGTAGATGTGGTCTTAATTTCCCAGAGCTGCAGAGAAAACATTTAAGGTCATGGAAGAGTTCAGCCCAAAGCTAGCACTGAGGCCAAAAACAAATGCTCAATGTTGGTCACATTGTTCTCAATCTCAAAAACTTAGTAGAAGACAACAACAATCAGAGAGACATTGTAGGCTTGGCATGAGGGCAGACAGACATAGCACACTGGATTAGAATCAAGAAATAGCCCAGACATGAAGCCTCATGGATGTCACACACTGATGGACATAGTGATTATCAGACTATCTGGATGGGAAAGAATGGTGTTTACAACAGTAGTATTGGAGAAACTGGATAGGCACTGGCCAAAAATTAATACAATTAAAAAATTTACATTCTCAGCCTTTCGGCATGTTAGAAACTAACCTCAAGAGATAATACTCTATCAAGGGAAAACTTTAATCTGTGATTTAGTCCTGTTTTTTTTTAAACTGTGATGCCAAAATCATAAGCACCAAAAAGAAAAGTGATCAGAACAACATCAAAATCACAAATTTCAGTACATAAAGAATCCTTGTTTGAATGGTAGATAACATGACTCACTGACCTAAGATGCTGCTGTGCAAACATCAACACTGGAGCTCAGATTCCCAGAACACATATAGATGCCAGGTACATGAGGCAGTCCACCTGTAATCAAGTGCCTGGGATGCAGGGAATCTCTGCAATAAGCTGGATAGCCAGAATAACAGAATAGGGAGCTCTAATTGCAGAGAGACCCTGCCTTCATAGACAATGTGAAGAGCAATCCAGAAAACCATCTAATGTTAACCTTGGGCTTACACACACACACACACACACACACACACACACACAGACTCCCCCCACACCACATACACATGCCCATATGAATATTCAAATACAATGCACACAGACATATGCAAACAAAAGTAACTGCTGAGAAAGAACAGTAACAGCCCATAGTTTGTGAAATAGTTGTAATCATATAGCTGAGAAGGGACTTAGATTAATAACACTTCAAGAAATCCCACAATCCATTAACAACTACAAAAACTTCAATTCCAAACTGGGCATAAGACATAGGTGTTTCTGTAAAGAAGAAATGCAAAGGACAAGTGGCACATGAAATGATGTGCAGCATCTCCAGTCTTTAGGGAAATGTAAGTCAAAACTACAATGTGATACCAGTTCACACTAAGTAAGACAGTTTATTGTTAGGTACCTGTTAAATCCCTAGTACAGGATGGATGCAGGTGCCTCAGACCTTTGCACACTGCTGCTGGGGATGATTGAATGCAGGTACCTGGGACCCTTGCACACTGCTGCTGGAGGTGATGTGCTCATTGCAAAAGCACTGCTATTCTACAAAAAGCTAAAAATAAAATTATTGTATGAACCAGCAATTCTATTGCTTGAACACAGAGATGAAAGAGTTTCTCAAAGACTTGATGCTGGTGGTCAGGTCAGTACCAGTCACAACCTTACCTTCCAGGGAGAATGAGTGAACCAAGTGTGATATACACACAGGTAAGAGAATTGCATTTGGCCTCAGAAAGGAAGAAAGTTCTGATAAATGCTACAATGTGGAAG